TGCTGGTGGCCGCTTTGCTCTCAGTTAGGGGCACGAGGGGCCAGGTGCAGGACACTGTGATGTCACCATCCGGGGAGGGGCTGGGGCATCCTTTCTGAGCCTGCGCCTCACAGAGGAGGCTGGAGACCGGGCAGACCCCAGCCGTGCGACTTACCCGGCAGCCCGCGCTTGCTGGTGGCCGCTTTGCTCTCAGTTAGGGGCACGCGGGCCAGCGCGGCCAGCTCTGAGATGAAGGTCCGCTCTGCCTCCTAGGCGCAGAAGGGCGAGGTGAGTGGGGTCCCCGCCACCCTTCCCCACCCCTGCACCCCCGGAGCAAATCGACTGTGCGCGCAGGGCTGGTCCCATCTCCGGGCGTATCCAGAAAGGTCTGGGCAGACACAGGCAGGTGGTCACGCAGAAAGAGTCTCTACCTGACCTGGCTGCCGCTTAAGGATGGGGACACTGAGGGCCAGCTCCAGTGACCTGCTGGGAGCACAGAGCAGACTCTCAGCCGCCTGTCCAGCTCCAGGGCGGGGTCCTCCCTGCCAGACTCCACTGCCCCCACCCTGCGAGCTGTGGGGCTGTCTGCACCTCACGGCCCCACCCCCCTCCGAGAGTCACAGCAGTACCCTCCCTGCTGGTTGGTGGGTGACTCTAGGTGGGGCATATAAAGCTTCCAGGCCAGGGTCCCTTGTGAAACCCCAAACCAAACCCACTGCCAGGGAGTCCACACATAGTGACCCTGCCGGGCAGGGTAGAACTGCTCCTGGGGATGTCTGAGACTGCAGCATTTTACGGAGCAGAAAGCCTCATCCACCCCAACTGCTGACAGTGACCCACTATGCCACCAGGAGTCCCTCTGGTTATAACAGCCCCCCACCCCCAACCCCCATTAGGACAGGAGCCCTGGTGGCTTCATGGTTAGGAGTGGGGATCCTAACCGGCATGCAATAGCAGCGAGTTTAGATTTGAGTGATTATTACAGAGTCCCTGGGTGGGCACTTGGCTTGGAGGCCACCTGGAGATGTCTTGGCTTCTAAAAGGTCACACAAGGTCACCCAGCCTTGAGAACCTTACGGAGCATTCAAGGATAGCTGCGAAGACCCATGGATTAGAACTGAGAACCCAGGTACCTACAGATACCTGATCTTTGATAAAGGACTCAAACACATTAAATGGGGGCAGAGAGACCCTTTCAACGTAGGATGCTGGACACACCGGAGCTTCACACCTGTGAAAGAATGAACTGGGACCCCCTATCCCACACCGTGTGCAGAAACAAACTCAAGATGGGTCAAAGACCTAAATATCAATCACACAACCATAAAGACCATCAACCAAAATAATAGGGACAAGCTTAAGGGCTCTGATACAAAGCAGCATAAACACACTATTGGACCTAATGAAAACGATCCACACTATGTAAGACAAAATAAAGAACCAGGGACCTACTAAAAATACATTTCTGCACTTCAAAAGAGTCCACTGAGAACCCACAGACTGGGGTTAAAATTAAGTAATAATACATCAGGTAAAGGCTAATCTCCCAAATAGGGCACTACAACAACAACAAGAAAAATACCAATAATGCTATAAAACGTGGGCACAGAATATGAATAGGCAATTTAACAAAGAGGGCACCCAGACAGCCAACAACCGTATGAAGAAATGTTCACATTCGTGAACAATAGGAGAAATACAAATTAAGACAACAATGAGATACCACCTCCCACCGACACTTTTGGCAGAATTCAGTACAGCAGAATATAATAAATGCTGGGAAGGAGGTGGAGACACATTGGAGAGATGTGCTTTTCCATGTATGATGCCTATGGAAACCAGCATGGCACTGCCTTACACGAATGCAAACCCAAGTGCCTTCGGATCCAGTGATCTCTCCAGGGGATCCACACCCTCAAGAAATCAAGAACACACCACCATCAGACAGATGCACACCTATGTTTACCGCAGCAATTTCCGTAATAGCAAAACCAGGGAAACAACCAGAAACCCCAGTAGTAGAGGAACGGATCAACAAGCTCTGGTACATGCATACCATGGAATATGAAGCATCAGAAGAAAACACTGCCACTCAAGACATGGACAAAGCTGGAGCACGTGACACTTCCCAGACCCAGTCCATGTTACAAAGCCTTTAACGTCACCATCGTTGGAAGGAAAAACAAAGAGGAAGAAATGTGGTTTGTCCAGCAACAGACAAGACTTTGATGACCATGGGGCCGCCGGGGCCGGGGGCGGGAACAGAGAGAGAAGGACATCGCATTTAGTAAAGCAGACGTACAGTGGAAAAGAGGATGGCTGTCCACAGGACAGTGGACACGGTGGCTGCAGCTGTGGACTCAGACGTCAGAACGGTGTGAGGATGTCGCACGACTGGGTGTGTTTGGTTCTGATGCAGGGTCGCTGCTAGTCAGCACCGCTTGGGAGCTCCTGGCAACAGCAGCCTGCTTGGTGGCCGCCTCTGCTCACATCAGGAAAAGATGTTTCCGAGATGAAAGAGCCTTTCTGTGATGAGATCAGACCTGCCTGCCCTCCTCAGGGAACACCCCAAAGCCCGTTCTGGCTTCTGGCAAAGACCCCTGAGAGGGGCTGCCTTCTGAACGAAGGGTTTCCCACGGCTGAAGGAGGGTTTCCCACAGGTGATCTTTCAGGAGGAGGTTACCAATTCATTCTTCCAAGGCATCTGTGTGGTTTGCCCCTCGTTCACACCCACCAGGGGGCCTCCAGTTAGCACCACCACTGATGAAAGGACACGGACCTCCGCCCCGGCCACCAGCCGTATGATCCGGCCGGCCATGAGGAGTGTGCAGGGTCCAGGGGTCCAGGGTCTCTCCCTCCTACCTGGAGCTGGCTCTCCAGCTGGCCTGCCAGAAGGTCCAGGACTCGGGCCCTCTGCTTCCCAGTGTCCAGGCGCAGGTGCTGGTGCTGGGAGAACTGGGCCAGGAACCTCTTCTGCTGTGACAACATCCTGGGGGTGGGGGTGGCGGGGAGCTGGTG